GGAGTCCCTGATATCTGCCATTCAGTCACTAGAATCATCAAGATAGGTGTAACTTGTCCAGTTGATATTGAAGATTTTAGTTATATTCTTCTCAGATAATCGTTAACCGATTCAATTAGAAACCTATTCATAATTCTCAAATAATGATACAAATGGGAATCACTTATCATCTTTCAGTGTCTTGCATGTAATCAGCATCACGAAATGTGTCATTATAAAATGTGAAATGTACTGTATCTTTTTGGCTTCTTGTATGGCTAGATTTGTAAATTCCCTTACATTTTTGGTGTCATAGATTTCAATCAACGACATTTTGGTGTATATAGTGTACTAGATAGCACTTACCTCACTACCGGCCTCCACAAATGACGCGTAAATTGCAATCAACCTGTCAACTCGCGATAAGAACACCTGCAGTCAAGTGACTTAAATTTTATAATCTACCCATCGCTTGAATGACTTGAATTTTGTGATCGAGTCGACGAGTCGGTCTGCTGACGCAGTCGAGCAAGTCAGGTGATAAAATCTTCCTCCGCAGTCGACATACTACCCGCAGCGATCTAATTTTAGTATCGTCACACTAGAGTTCAAATGTAGTAGTTTTCGTGACGGATTTTTGGTGGCAGTACAAGATACAAACAAAAATGGTGGCAATATAGGTACAAATAATAGCTCAATCTAGTAATTTTCGTGACGGATTTTTGGTGGCAAGCCTTATATAAGTAGAGTTTCTCTCATCATCAAAACCCCATGTTATATGTTGTTTGTTGTTCGGTTCGATACATTGTTTGAAATAATATTGATCTAATAATCCACGGATTTGAACATATCCAAGGAAATAAAATTTATTACAAATTCCTTTTGTTACTTAATCATATTTTATTATCTTTCTATTTATCGACATTGAATATTGATACTTGAATCCGGGTTGGAGTCTGAGATAGCTCGCTTACAGACCATTCGCAGATACTTCGGTTAGCGAAATCGGTTAGCGATATACCCGTTGAAGCAAGATACACCTTTTAAGAGTGAATACAAGTCAATATTAATATTCGATATCGATTCTCCCGTTTATCGTTTAATTAGTTATAATTATAATTAGAAGTGACAAGATACCTGACTAGTCAAAACACTAAATCGAAGACCGCCCTGTTTTAAATTAAATATAAAATATTCCCCTTCGATTCTGTGGCAATATTGTAGTTGTAACGGTATTGTCATAGGTACCCCTTACTTAGAAACGAGTATTCGTCTAGGGAGTTAGTTAAGCGCGCATAATTAAAATAGTCACTTATAAATTTGATTCAGTCGTAAAGACAATCGCTATTAGTAAGGGTAAGAGAATCGCTGAAGTGGCCAGAAATAGTTAATGTCCTATATGTATATCATTTATTGCATAAATAATAGTACAAGTGTTGAAGGAATGTTCGGATTAGAGAACGGAATCCAAACTATGATCATAAAACACGCTGAAGATAGCGTTTGACTGCTTATTATTGTATAATTTTAGATTGTTTCACTAACCAATCGAATGGCAATATTATTGGCCTATTTTGATTTTTTTTTCACGAGCAGAAATTGCGGAGAAAATACGCGGTTCTGACAACTTTATTTGGCACGAAATCTTTGTGAATTCGCTAATCTTCACATGATTCTTCACGGTTTTTCATTATTTTGGCTTTGGAGCAAGCGGATAATATAAGAAAGCACTTGCTTTGATGATTCCAGATTACCTTTAAAATCGCACACAAATTCTTTGGATATTTGTATTTTTGGGGAGCCAACCCACTGAATAAAATGCCACACATTCCCAGTTGTACACAGATGTCTTCATATTTATTGTCTTTGCTCTAATGCATAAATCAATGTCCGAGCAATCAAGGAGATTGTTGCCCATCATCTGATATAACTACTATATTTAATATTACTACACTATACAACGTGTTGCACGGTTATCGGATGTTCTCCATGCATTCGTTTATTTCATGTAGTTATATAAGAATCGCGAAGACGGTTTCAGCAAAAATATGGCCCAACGTCTAGAGTCTTGGTCGGTGGAAGCATTTATCCTGTCTTCTTCCTTCATCCCAAGTACCGTAACAGTGTCTTTAATAGTAACTTTCCCTCACTAAACTTACCCCAAATCGGGTTATGAAAGTACTGTTATAAAAATGGTTCAAAACACGACCATCTGTTAACTCTCAAAAAGACTATCCGTTTGACAATGATACTGCCTCGAACTTCAATAATATTGGAAGTTTACGACAGGAACAACAAAAGAATTAAGTATTCTTGCAGTTCGGATTGGCGTCACGTGAACGGTTGTTTTCTTCAGTGGGCTTTATACATTCAGTACGACGGAACCAACTGCAGGTATGAAAGAGTTTGTAAGTTTGATTTAGCAAGATACATGTTCGACTATTTGCTAAATACTTATTCTACGTTTTATTTAGCTTGGGAAAGTATTTTCAATGACACAGATGCCGAAATAACTTATAATCATGCGATTAAAGTTGCACGCGAGTTAGAGCGTATACATGCAAACACGATTACGTGTAATGCTGAAAACCATGAATCGAATCCAGAACGCTTTCCTGAAAGTGTTGAAATCCCTTCTGAAGGAATAGACGTAATCATTGATGAAAGTGAAGGGATAATAGTAAGGAATATGGTTCGGACACGAATGCCGATGTTGATAATGAATGGAGAGCTGTTCTTAATGACTGGTCAGAAGACCTTATAGCCGAAAACACAGAAACTCTTGCGTTCGAAAGTCTGGAACGCCTGATTATTTGTTAACGCGTTTGTATCATCCTGCAGATGATCCAGCGGAAAAGTGGACTTATATTCATAGTTGAATTCCCAGCACCCTCAGCAATGAAAAATCTTTGCGTTGATAAGCTTTGTGATCGACATGTCAAACACTTTTTTAATACGTTGACGTAATAGTAATGGAATAACCTCGTAAACAGGCCATAGCTTTGAAAATCTTGTATATGTTTGTAATGCTTGACCGATAATTTATTTAGGATTGTACAATAATTATACAACCCACATGTAAGATAACATTGTGAAAACATTGTCACAATGTTGAAGTGATGATCAAAAAAAAATTGTGGCTACATAGTATAATGAATGCACAACCATCAAAAAAGGCCTGTCATTAACTAAATGTCGTAATAATGTTGTTACTATCTTTAACGAGGACTATACAATGCATGGTCAAGCCTTGTGAGGATTTACAAGGTTTCTGTAAAGTATGATATCATAATTTGTGATATGAACCTTATTTCAGTAATGGCATTGTTTCCAGTCGGTCAATCAATTATTATGTTACACACATTGTGTCACGATATATTAAACGAACAAAAAGAATGCTACCAGGCAATAAAGTTCTAAATTATATAAAAAAAAAAGAATGCTACCACATGGATGCTCTTATTGTTGTTCTTATTAATACGAGATCACGATTATGGCCAATAATGTTGCGAGTTTTATGCCCGCGAAACTCTTAAAGTTAATTCACATTTTGCTAATTCTATATATAGTTAGTGATGTTTCCTTTTTTAAACGGTTACAGCAATGGCCCCTTTGATGTTAAACAATAGTAGAAAACATGACCTCTCCGTTTACTGATATGAGATTGCTGAGCCTGTACGAGTTGATTTTTTTATTCAATTCAAAAAAGAGATTAGATTAGAGTTCGGTATAAACCACAACGATGTCTCTCTTAACTGAAATTGATTATCGATTATTGAATATTGAAGTAAAAACAAACGCATTTGCTCAGAATAAAATACAGAAGCATTTTTAATCACCCGCAGTAAAGATAAATTAAATGTTGCGATACAATTGGTATTGGTGGAAAGTTGATTTTTCTGATGAAACGACTATTCAGCATTCGAACTCTGGCTATTCTATGCAGAAATTGTATTGTAATCGCCAAGACATTTCATAATGCTTTAAAAGCAACCGATGATTGTGGTAAACAAGACATTTCTCTTTCGCTTTATTCTTCGCCCGTTTTTCAGATCGCCGATTTTTGGATTTACAAGCATCCGTCTACATAACATTTATTTATACTAGCAACACTTGTATTTCTTTGAAAACGGCGATATCCAATACTTGACTCTTCTCTCACTCGAGAATAACTATCTTAAAGTCACAACTTTATTCGTAACAAGATTGTGCAATAATGAAAAAATTCGTCGCTAAAGTTACCCTTGTCTTTGCATCGTTATGGGATGCTATGCGGTTGCGGTAAAAATTTCGGAAAAATTATACACTTCCTAGTAAGCATTGAACAGATAGTAGAAATAATAACGTAGGCGCACTATTCACGACAAATTGTTTAGGTATACTCTCTATAGTCGGTCAGCGCATACAAGAACGTATTCCTCTGTCGATAACGAGTTCTTTGTCGACAACGGCAACTCAAAGGTATTTATCCTTTGCTTTACAGTTTCATTAGTTTCATTGCATTGCAAGATCGTTTACTATTTAGTATTAGTGCAAGTCCATCAAATCTCCCGATAACGACGGTTACGATTATGATGACTTCAACGTCGGCACCTTTACCAGCGGCAACATCACCGCCATCATCATCTAACGACGTACCTAGAGAATATAATCCGACAATCACCACGCTGTTTGGGATTGCTAGTATTGTAGCTACCGTAATTATGTATCTTAGAGGCAAAGATGGCAGTTTTCAAATCGTTTGTTGCAGCCGGTCCAAAGACGGACAATCAGACATTGCAGGGACTATAGCATAATTTAAGATCACTAGGTATATTAGTATTAGGTAAAACAGAACATTGTGGGGACTTTTATCATCTATGACCAAATATATATTATAATTATATGTACTTATTATTATTATTATTATATTAAATTAATATTCTAACTTAATTTCGTACGAGCGTAACCTAGCACTATAGTTCTGTACCCTCAACGATAAGGTAACACTGAAGGAAAACTTTTGTCTCAACAACTGTTCCCAACTATATTCCCCTTCAACAACTCTAAGATTATATGTCTTGCTATTATATAAAATAATGTCCACGCTGCTTGACACTAATTTGAAGTCGGACAGTGAAGACGGAGACTATGTTTTTGATGGTATGGTTTATTATATACCTATAAGAAGCTTAGTAAATGGTGGTTTCAACTTGATTAGTTGTCACTGTCATAGACGGCCCATGTTCAAATGCTCACCTGCTAATCACACTCCTCTGTCAAGTAATTGATTAAATTGCATCCCCCCTTCTGACAATTGAAAACTGATTCTAATCTAAAGAGAATGTTGCTAACTGAAGATAAATTTGTTAAGCTAAAGCTTCGGACAGCGAAAGCGACGAAGACTTTGTTCCTATTGAGGAAGGCGGAGAAGATGTTAGTTCAGTCGTAACGGGTGGTAAACGCAAAAGCGCACGATTAAACAGTAATGAAAGGGATGTGAAAAAAATAAGGTATTTTGATTATCTTCAGATCCGAGCTCTTTTTTCAATTACTGCCTCAAACTATTGCCTTTTTGGTTTTGTTTGTTTTTTTTCATCGAGTGTGTTAACTTTACTTTTACAAAAAGATCCGAGACAGCAGGTGTTGCAAACCAGACACCAAGATCCGAAGAAGAAATGAAGAAACGTATGGATACCATATGGACTCAAATAAATAATAATGAAGTTAATCGTGAGTTGCAACAAGATGATTCTGTACAAAAAGACAAAGAAAGCGAGAAGCAAGACTTGAATCTATTACAAGATAATCCAGAAAAGGTTTGTGTTTTCTGGTTAATTCTTGATTAGTAAACTGGACAAAATCGTGATGCACGACTCAATTGATAGGTCGCAAAACGCGGTTCATCAAAGCTTATTACTATCACTCGTACTTACGAATTTGCGGGGGATTTCATCACGTAACTACAAGCTTTAAATGTGTACTCTCTGTATCGTGTAATACTTTTTCTCATTTTGCCTTTACTTACGTTTCTAGAGAAGAGACTGAGGTTCCTGAAGATTCAGATGAAGCCAAGGCATACCTGTTAGCGCAATCTCAAACATCTTCGTCCGAGCAATCCCAAAACAATTCTCACGTCAGTTTGCAATCTTCTGAATCATCTCGAAGCAAACCCATTCTTCCTGTTAAACAACGACCGGCGAAGTCTCAGCGTGCAAAGTCCAACTTGAGTAAATTAGTGGACTCCATGAAGAAACCCACAAAATTAAATACACTGGATAAGTCTAAAATGGATTGGAATAAATATGTGGATAAGGAAGGCATTAAAGATGAGTTGAAATATCATAACAAAAGTGGGTGAGTCTGGGCTATTTAACGGATAGTGTGGCGGTTTTGAATGTGCTATAGATTGGTTACTTAAATTGGGGTCTGTAATTACATATTCACGTAATGCAATAATTCGACCATGTAGATTCATAGAGAAACAAGACTTTCTTCAGCGTACATATAGTCGTCAAGAAGCTGAGTTAAAGGCTATGAGACAGAAGACGAGGAAGAATTCACAAAAATGAGAACGTTACCCATCGGTTTGTGACTCGGGTTATCGTTTCATCTCCTCATCGAAAGCATTGGTGCTTGTCAGCAAAAGTAATGCGTAATCTGGGCATTTTTCGTGTAAGAGTCAATTCGGCCTTGCTTAGTACAGATTTTGTTACTCCATGATGGACGATGGATTCCACTGACCTCGCTGTTATATTTATGGTCTTTTAGTCTATTCCAATTGCTGGTTGCCTTCATAATGGAGTTAGTAATAACAATTGGCTTACTATTTTACCTGTTTATCCTAGACTCAGTATTTCATTAAGCTTTCAAGTTTCTTACGCAGGCATTAATTATGTAGTGCATTATCAAACCAGAAGATTAATTTGATGGATGATCAAAGGTAAAGTAGTAAGTTGCTCAGATTGGATTCGATTTCAATTTAACGAGTTTGTGCTCTTGTGATTTGCCTTGACATTGTCCGAATAAATGTGATGCTTTGCTCTTTTTTAAGGAGATGTTTTTGCAGAAAAGTGATATGTTTAACAAAGGTCGACAGACATTTGGCAAACCGTTGCGTGTTGGGTATTTGTTTACGAATATGATCTATCAACACGTATTCCTGAGATCTTTAAATCTACTAGCCATTATTCTACAAACACGCCACAAAAATGTTCGCACACGTATACGTTCGTGAGCATGTTGATGCTGAATCGCTTTTATTTCTATCGTTATTATTATAATGAACGTATGATCAAATGCGTAAATTACGAATAATGGTGGTAATAGTATGTGCTTATGTTGTACTCCACAACTTTGTTTACATGTGAAGTAAATACGACATTTGAAACTTTTGCAATTGCGAAAAAGCAAAGAGATCAATACATAAGACAACTTCGCGATAATAATCGCAGTTGCTTGCATGATTTTCTTGGCGTTTGTACGCTTTTCCGTATAAGACCTTCGCTCTTGTAATGTTAGTTACGACTGACCCTCTTCAGCCACAAGAGCTTTCCATTCGTGCATTATGTTCAGATACGTGTACATAACAGCTCACGTGAAATACACCAACATTATTTCGTTATCCAAACCCCCGCCTAACGGATCTAATTTGATCTCTTTACGCTCCATAGCTGGTTAACAATATTCGTTGCCATATGCAAATCTGTCTACCGGTTACATGTAGATAAACTTTCTCGCTAAAATTACAACAGTGCCTTGGTGAGAAACACACAGATCGTTGCT